CGGCCGCCGTAGCAGAGTGATTACATGTGCGTACTTCCACTCCATAGGACCATGGATAAATACCTGGTCAGATCATAATCCAAAATAGCAGTCGTCCGATGATTGAGTTTTTTTTTTTTGCATTCACATTCTCTATGTGAATGGGTGTCAACCATTCCATAACACACTACATATTTTGTGTTTACAATTTGTAACCAATCTCAAGAGTGGTTGTTAAATTTTTTAAATCAAACAATCACATTTTTGAAACGAAAAAAATGAGAATGCACACTCAATTGATTCAATCATTACACAGCTCTGACATTCAGTTATGTTTTTTTGTAAAACTGAAGAAGAAATGAAACAAGCACATAAAATTAATTAAAATAGATGATTTGCACTGGGCTACACTACATACAGAAATGGAGCTTCCTTTCATTCATTTCTATTGCAGACATTTTTATTAAAATTCTCATTTGTCTTTATATACTTTTTAATAGCCCTCTTCCTATTTGTCTTCATATTCGACTTCGTTTCGTCTTGGTAATTAATCTTCGTCTTCCTTCGTATTCATCTTCGAACTTGTCTTCATTTTAGTCGCTGTCTACGTACAAATTCGCCTTAATCTTCGTAATCTTCTTCGTATTTGTTTTCGTTTTTGTTTTCGTAATCGTTTAATTTTACTCGCGGTTTTCGTATTCGTTTTCCCATTTGTATTCCTATTCGGTCATTCGTCTTCATATTCGTCTTGGTTCTCGTATTCGTCTTCGTTGTTGTTGTAGTAACAGCATAGAAATTCCCTTAAGTGCTAGGTCGTTCCGGTTACGAAGACCCGCGTGTCATGGAAACGCATTTGCCTTCGTATTCATCTTCATATTCAAAGACAAAAATAAGAAGTAAAACAAACTGCGAAAAACAATACACTGTTAATGTAACAACAACTATACACAAATAAGGAAATTTATACATACATGGCGATTGCTGCCATAAATTTGCAACCATTTTGTTCTCGGAGAAATGTTGCTGAAATTATTATTCACATTTTGTTCTCTTCGGGAACGTGTTCCGGGCTCTTGTTCTTATATAATTCCCATTGAGAACGTTCTAGATAGTTTTGTTCTTGTACTTCGAAACACCCGCTGGCTATCGAAGATCGAAGATCGAAAGTGAAATTCGTATTATGAGCTATGCAAGCGTGTCGAAATTTTCGTTGAGTATCGAATTTTCTGTCGAACAGAATTTTGCTTTCGATGATGTAGCGAAGTGTTACAAAATTGTGAAAAATGTATGATTTTGTAAATGTTTTCTTACATTTTG